GAAAAATTCAAGACAATTTATAGGAATTATAAAATATAACTTCCTGGTGGCATTCAAGAAGCTAGTATGCAAGAAGGTAAATTTCACAATGTCCAGTATCCAATTAAAGAATACCAAGTATGCAAAGCCAGGAAATGATGACCCATAAAGAGGGGAAATAATCAGTTAATCAAAATTGAACCAGACCTAACATGATGTTGGAATTAACAAAGACGACAGCCAGGTGCAGTGGCTCACGCCTGTAATCTCAGCACTTTGGGAGGCTGAGGCAGGTGGATCACCTGAAGTCAGGAGTTCGAGACCAGCCTGGTCAGCATGCTAAAACCCTTTCTCCAGTAAAAATACAAAAATTAGCCAGGCATGGTGGTGCATGCCTATAATCCCAGCTACTTGGGAGACAGAAGCACAATAATTGCTTTTGCTAGGGAGGCAGATGTTGCGGTGAGCTGAGATTGCAGCATTGCACTCCAGCCTGGGCAAAAATAGCGAGACTCTGTCCTAAAAACAAACAAACAAACAAACAAAAAAACACACACACACACACAGAGGACTTTAAAACAGGTATTATGACAATATTTTATGGGTCCAAAGAATTAAGCAGAGGTATCGAACATATAAAAATGGTCGGAATCAAACTTTAGAGATTAAAAACTATAACATCTGAGATAATAAATTGACTGGATGCAATTAATAGCAGATTAGACACTGCAGAAAAAAAGATTAAGAAACACAAAGCCACGAATTATTGAAACATCTAAAATACAACTCATCAACTCATGGAAACAATTTTTTTTTTTTTTTTTGAAATGGAGTCTCGCTCTGTCGCCCAGGCTGGAGTGCAGTGGCGTGATCTCGGCTCACTGCAAGCTCCGCCTCCAGGGCTCATGCCATTCTCCTGCCTCAGCCTCCGGAGTAGCTGAGACTATAGGTGCCCGCCACCATGCCCGGCTAATTTTTTGTATTTTTAGTAGAGACGGGGTTTCACTGTGTTAGTTAGGATGGTCTCAATCTCCTGACCTCATGATCCCCCCCCTCAGTCTCCCAAAGTGTTGGGATTACAGGCGTGAGCCACTGCGCCCCGCAAACAATTTTTTTTTTTTAAATGAACAGAGCGGCAGTGAATGATAGTGCAAGTTTAAGACATCTAATAGGCAAGTTAAACGAGTCTTCCAGACAGAAGGAAACTGACACCAAAAGAAAATCTGGATGAAAAAAAACAAAAACACTAGAAATAACATCTACATAGGCAAATATATAATTTTAACATCTGACTGTTTAGCCGGGCGTGGTGGCTTATGCCTGTAATCCCACCACTTTGGGAGGCCGAGGCGGGCGGGGATCACTTCAGGTCAGCAGTTCAAGACCAGCCTGGCCAATATGGTGAACCCCCTTCTCTACTAAAAGTACAAAAATTAGTCGGTGTGGTGGCCCACGCCTGTAATCTCTGCTACTCAGGAGTCTGAGTCAGGAGAATCGCTTGAACTCGGGAAGCAGAGGTTGCAGTGAGCCAAGATTGTACCCCTGCACTCCAGCCTGTCTGATAGAGCAAGACTCATCTTACAAACAACAAACAAACAAACAAAACAAAAACACATCTGACTCTTTAAACAAAAGTAATAAAGATGGATTGGAAGGTTTATAATACGTGTAAAGTAAAATGCATGACAATAGCATAAAGGCAGGGAGAGGTATGGTGCCACTTGAAGGAGACTGTGATGGGTTAATTTTTGTGGAAAGCAAGGCAAAATTCTTGAGGTTTCTCTCTTCATATACTTTCGGGTTCCCATACATACAACCTAGTTTGTTCTGGAGGGATCTTATTTTCTAGGCGACTCGGAGGGGGAAACTTCAGCTTTGTGTCCTCATGGAATGCACATGACACAAGCGACTGGTCTTTGACTTTTAAATACAGTGCAAGGCCCGAGGAGAAATAATTGCAATTTATTATTATTATTCTAATGAGATGGGATTCTCACTGGTCTTGAACTTCTGAGATCAAGTGAGGCTTCTCCTAAGTTGGTCTCTCAAAGTGTTGAGGTTAATAAGCCTGAGCCACCGCACCTGGCCACAACTGCCAACATTTAAAAATCACGTCCCTGGGTGGGCTCGAACCACCAACCTTTCGGTTAACAGCCGAACGCGCTCACCGATTGCGCCACAGAGACGACCTCGGTTGCTCATTTTCATCTCACCATAGATTAAGCAATCACTGAACTTTAAGGGTTGCTGTTCGCTCTCTGCAAGAAAAGTGTGCAGACAACAAAGCTTCAGAAAACCGGAGAGGCTGAGTCCACTCATTGTGTTGTTGCACGTTAGAAACGCGCGCATTGCATCCCTCTGAAGCCAGAAGGGCGGCCGAATGGCCTTCACCCTGCGTTGACCCTCGCCTCCTTCAGAAGCCAGTGCCTCTGAAAATATCTGGATCTGCGACCCTAGCCTGGGCCTGGTAGGGCCCTGGGGAAGTTGAAGGCCCCGACGGCTCTCATGATAGCTCTTTTTGCGCCGCCTTCAGGCAATCATCTGTTCCACTTGCTCTCCCCTCACTCAACTCTGCTTCAGTAGATGGGGTTGGTGGGGCGGGAGCGGGCAAGAGGCAGGGGATTCAAAAGGGAAAAAGGGAAAAGGAGGAGGGAGAAGCAGGGGATACCAGGACGAGACAATGGGACAGCCCAGGATGCCCGTACAGAGGGCACCCGCTGGATGCAGAGAAGATGGGACATGCATCAGAATGGAGAGGGGGAAACGGGGAGAACACGTGAGAAAATCACAAGAACTTATAGCTGCCCAAGAATAAAGAAGTAAAAATCACATAATGTTTTTACATTAAAAAAAAATCGGGGGACCAGGCGCGGTGGCTCATGCCTATAATCCCAGCACTTTGGGAGGCTGAAGTGGGTGGATCAGTCACTTCAAGTCAGGAGTTCGAGACCAGCCGGGCCAACATGGTGAATGACCATCTCTACCAAAAATACAAAAATTAGCTGGGCTTCGTGGCGCATGCTTGTAGGGCCAGCCACTCGGGAGGCTGAGTCAGGAGAATCGCTTGAACCTGAGAGGCTGAGGTAGTAGTGAGCCGAGATTGTGCCACTGCACTCCAGCCTGGGCAACAAAGTGAAATTCTGTCTCTCAAAAAAACATATAAATAAATAAAAGAGGGGTGGGGAAGCAAAACGACCAGCAGTAAGTGTGGGGCGTACTGGGATTCTATAGTGGTTAATACTCTGCCTTGTACCTGCAGCAACCTCTGTTCCAATCCAAATCCTGCTACAGTCAGACTCTATCTTGGACCCAATGGGGCGAACCCACGTGTCTTCTGGTTTGCTTTTAATTCCTGCACCAGCTGTGGCCTTTATCTGCAGCCAGAAAGCCAGAAAGCAGGGTTTACCGCTGGCCCCACAGCGCCATACTGTCTGGGGAAAAGAAGAAAACCCAATAGTACACAAACAACGGCCCAAAGAGAAACCTTCGAAGTGCCCTATGCCTCACCGTTTAGCAGAAAATACCAAGCAACTCTCAACCTAGCTGGTCTGTAGCTTCCACGAATAAAATAATGTATTGCAGTCTTTCTGGTTGAGATATTTCAAATATTTGGTGGAGCTTTTAATGAGAGACAGAGACTCGAGTGTGGAAGAAAAAAATGAGGGGGTGTGAAGATGAGGCGACTTCAGGACAGAATTTAAAAAAAAAAAAAAAAAAAAGACAAGGAAGCCACGTAAACGTTTTAGGGTGGGCGTGAGGCGATGTCAGTCTTGAATCCCGTTATGTTAGGTAAAGAGCGCAGCCCTCTTCCAGCACAAACACGGTTTCCCACATTGAAGAAATCACAGGATCAGCAACTCTAGAGCGCGAAGAAGAAGCTTCACTCTGGGAGAACCCCCTTCGTGACCACGGTCTCTCCCCCGCCAGGTAAGTGGGAATTAGCCCATGCCCTGCCGGGACAGCACAGCCCCCTCGCCCGGGCCGGACGCTCAGGGTCGCCACCCTCCCCACTGCCGCCCCTCGCCATTCTTCCAAACCACTCTCCGCCCAAGATTCCACCGACGGTCACCCCACACGACAACCCAGGCCGCCTTTCAGCAGCGGCTCCCGCCCGGCAGCCACCGCGCCCTCTCACCCCCGCGGTTCTGCCCGCCGCCTCTGCCCAGTCTGTGCACTTCACCTCCCTGGCTCCCGCTCCCCCCTGAGCTTACAGTGGACGCGGGGTTCTCCGAACCCCTCTTGGGAGCACTGAATGGAAAAGGGGGACAGTGCGCAAGTTCTTGGTAGAGTGTAGACATTGTGGGATTTGACTGTTTTACCATTGCTTCGACGTCCTAGTGCTGATTTCTACACCTGCCTTCTGCTTAGGGCACCGGCAACAGTTTTCCATTTGTGCCTACTCCACCTGCTGTCGTTGTTGGGTCAGCGAACATCGCCTCCCTCTACCGCTCAATCAGCAAACGGGCCGCCCTCGAGGATCTCACCCGCCGCTCATCCGCCTCCCAACTTCGCGGGCATCGCCTCCGGTCGCCTCTTCCGAAGGCCTAACGAGCACGTTAGCTGCGAATGAAGGTGAGGAGGCTCCGCTGACTGGCCGGTGCCCGTGTCCAGGGCTTGCACAAACGCACGACTTGGCTTGGCCTCTCTCTTAGTTATTCGCAGCCCAGCCCGTTAGGCGCCTCCAGGGCGGCCACGGCCAAGAAAGTGGGCTTATTGGGTGCAGCTCCATGGGGCTGGCATCTCTGCACGGCTGTGTACACTTGGGCGAGACGCTCAGTCGCTCTCTAAAGCAGCTTCTGCGGATGACTGACATGGAGATAAATATGGTGTGCCATGAGAGGTGGTCTACCAGGACTTGCGCTTCTTCGCCCGGGTTTGCCCCTCGCTGCGGAGAGGGCTCTGCATCCGGCCCTTGGAGCTGACCGCGTAGTAAAGGTAGATTCCTGCGGGAGAGCGGCCAGTGCAAAACAATTCCCTGACCGGGAATCGAACCCGGGCCGCGGCGGTGAAAGCGCCGAATCCTAGCCACTAGACCACCAGGGACATACACAAGGTCCCTTGCTCTCCCTTCTTTGCTCTGAAGCCACAGTTTCCCTGTGCTCTGGGAGGACTTGGACCTTGTGAGGGTCGCTCTTTGCTCCTGGAGTCGTCTCACAAGGCTCTTCCATCCCTGCTTTCTTCAAAAAAGAGAGCCTGCAGGCGACACACCGAGGGCTCCGAGAGGGACACCAAGGTCAGGAGTCCCAAGTCCTGCAGCGAGTTGCAGCGACCCGGCCGCAGCTCACCACTGAACTAGAGATGCGCCTTTGCGAGGCGGCAGTAAATGACCAGACAGTCGCGGGTCGCCAGGTCGGGAGCCGCGCACCAGATTGCCAGGAGGCGGCGGGAGCCGGGAGGCGCCCGGGGTGAGACGGGGGCACCCTCTGCATCATAAAGGACACAGAACCTGGCACCCTCAACATCATAAGGAATCAGACGGATGCGGAAACCGAGACGGGCTGGATGGGAAAGTCTTTCCAGGAAGGCTCCGGGGCCCTCAGCTGGTCTCCGACCTTCCCCTGCAACCTGTGACACCTGCCATTTTCCCATCTTCCGCGAAGGCAACGCCACCCTTGCGTTTGCTCCGGACAAAACTTCCAGACTTCCCTCTGACGCTGGAGTTTTATCCTCAGATCCGAGATCCAATTGGTCACCCATTCGTGAGTTCCCATCGGCCAAGTGCGTGGCATTGATCTACACGCGAGTTTCTCCTCCTCTGCCGAATGGCTATTTCCGGGCGGGGGAGGGGCCCTCCCGCGGTGGATTGTAAGGTGTTTAGCAGCATCCGTCCCTCCGCTGACTAGATACAAGCCGGGGGTTAACATTCTCCCTCCCCGCTTCCCCCAGTCGTGGCCTAGTGTCCCAGCGAGGATGGGAGAGGCGTGTAAGGGCGAAGTTGCCCCCTCTTGAGAACCATTGCTGCGGGTTGTCGTGCTCTCTGAACTTGTGCAGAGGACTCTCCAGATGAAGGCTCAGGGCTCCATCCAGCTGGAGACACCCTCGCTCCCCGGTACAATCGGCCCTTAGGATCGGAGGCTTTTAACATCTCCATATCATGAGATTCGAAACCTTTAAGTCTTTTCTTCCGTTCTGTCCTCCAAATCGGCCTCTTCCGAGCCTGTTGACCAGGGCCAGCCAGGCAGAGGGCTGGGTTCACTCAACGAGGCTCCTCTCGCCCTCTCCTGGAGCTTCAGGCCTCTTTTGGTTGCAGAGAAGTTTTATGGGCCACTTCCTTCGGCATCCCCGGGGGCAGGTGCGCGGTGCGCGGGGAAGAACAGGGTTTGACTGCGGTTCTCGACCCTCGGCGCCGAACCTCCACCCCGGTGCGCGCGCTCTTCCAGGATCCTGTTGGTCCCACTCGCCAGGAGTTAGGTCTCGGGTCAGCCTGAGCTCCCGAGACGCCCAGGCCCGGAAGGACACGTAGGGGAAACCGGCTGTTCACTTCGGTCCTTTCCCTTTTCTGACGGGAAAGAAAGGCGGTGTGCTGTCCTGTCCTGTTGGGTAGGCAGAAGAGAGATCACAGGGAGGACAAGAAAAATCCTGTGTGGTTGCAGGATCTAAAGTTACCACGAAGTCGACCTAACCTCCTTGGAAGGTCCTCCGGGTCCTCCCGTGGCTGGCGAAGGTGAATCCAGTTTCCGTCTCCAGTTTGCCAAAGCGGACAAAGTCGACACAATGGGCCTGTCCACTATCTTCTTTCATATGCACAAAAAGTCAACTCTTCCTGTTTCTGACTTGCAACATCCCGCCTGATGACCAGCTTAGCAAATTAGAGACCCTCCATGGGATTCCATCTCTGTGCTAGTTCGGCCTTCTATAACAATGTACCCTAAACTGGGTGACTAATCACAACAGAAATTTATTTCTCACAGTTCTGGAGGTTGGTCCGACATCAAGGTGATAACACGGTAGGGTTATGGTGAGGGACTTTTTTTCTGCGTGTAGACTGCCACCTTCTCATTGTATCCTCAGGGGGCAAAAAGAGGGTGAGAGAGCTCCCTGGGGTCCCTTTTATAAGGGCGTTAGTCCCATTCAGACTAATGGGATTAAATCCACACTCTGCCATAAGTGTTGTGGATTTTTCGCATGTTCATCCTCCCAGCAGACAACTGGAGATGTATTGTCCCCAGAAGGTACAATAGAGAATCTTCTGTCACAAGTCAGCAAGCAGCATACGTGAGTGAGAGCACGTGACCTGATGGAGCCTGAGGCACGTGTGGGAAGATGTAGATTGTCCAACTGGAGGTTGGGAGTCCCGGGTGCAGAAGGAGAAGCTTGGAGTGCAGGATTTGGTGGTATGTGTGTGGCAGTAGGCAAAAGAAAGAGACAACTAAGCCACTTGAAATACCTTGAGAATTCAAATTTAGAAAATTCCCGGGGAAGTACGCATGCAGGCATTCATGAGATCCAGAGAACTGCTGCTGCATAACTGCATGTTGCAAGCAAGCCCTAAATTGCTGATTTTTAAACAGCCTGATACATTCACATAGACAATTTATCAATAGTCTTAAGAGCAAAGGTGAACTAAAGCCACTGTGCCCTGCAGCCCAGGATCCCAGTAAGTTCTTTAAGGACCATTTAAGGAAGATTTTTGGAGTTGTCCTTGGTAACCCTCAAGAATGTTTTGATTAGGAGTAGAATTTTAGATGTCATCAATTTAAAAATTAAAACTAAAACTCTGGAACTCATAGAGAGAGAAAATTAAGAGAATACATTCACTATCCTGAGTAGAAAGATTTCTTATAGAACATAAGTGGCTTGGCCGGGTGCAGTGGCTCAAGCCTGTAATCCCAGCACTTTGGGAGGCCGAGACGGGCGGATCACGAGATCAGGAGATCGAGACCATCCTGGCTAACACGGTGAAACGCCGTCTTGAAACCCCGTCTCTACTAAAAAATACAAAAAAAAAAAAAAAAACCTAACCCGGCATGGTGGCGGGTGCCTGTAGTCCCAGCTACTCGGGAGGCTGAGGCAGGAGAATGGCGTAAACTCGGGAGGTAGAGCTTGTAGGGAGGTGAGATCTGGCCACTGCACTCCAGCCTGGGCGACAGAGCGAGACTCCGTCTCAAAAAAAAATAAAAAAAGAACATAAGAGGCTTTAAAAATAAAGAAAAAAAAAGGCAACATTTCATCAAATTAAATGCTTTGAGAAGTAAAATTAAAATCCGAAGCCACCCAACCAACTGGACAGACCCCTTCTTGGTCAGGGAGACCCCAGAGAAGTCTTGAATACTGAGTTCCTGGCCTGTATTTGGAAGCTCAGACCCCTGTCCTTATACTCTCTCCCTTTTGTGGTTTAGACACAACTGACCAGCATTATTGTTAAAATAGAGGTCATAAGACTGACAGAACAGACTCCTTACAGTAGTAAGATACCACATTATAAACAAGACCTAAGGCCATGCCAGGCAAGGTGAAGTCATGCACCCCTCAGTTTAAAGAATAAACTATGTTCTAATTGCCACCAGTTTTTTTTTCTTCCTTTTTTTTCCTCTACCTAAACAATCACAGGCCTTCAGATAAGCAATGCTGAAGCACTTGCAGCTCACCCGTTACCATAAACTGACTGAGCCCTCCCTGCACAAGCCATCACTACAGCTTTGATTGGACAAGACACTGATTTCAGTAACTTTCTCTTGATAAGAGACCACTGGCTGTGGACTGGTTCTGGACAGTGCACAGAGGCTGTGCTCTTCATTGTCTTTGTGTCCCTGCTTCACCTTTTGAAGCACAGGACCTTATAATGTACTTAAATGTTGTCTCCACCCCAAAGTGAACAGGGGTTGCATGTAACAGTCATGTTTACTCAGCATGCATGCATGTTGACCGAGTCTGGCTCTGTCGCCCAGGCTGGAGTGCAGTAGCGTGATCTTGGCTCACTGAACCTCTGCCTCCTAGGTTCAAGCGATTCTCCTGTTTCAACCTCCCAGGTAGCTGAAATAGCAGGTGCATGCCACCACGTTCGGCTAATTTTTGTATTTTTAGTAAAGACGGGATTACTGCATGTTAGCCAGGCTGGTCTTGAACTCTTGACCTCATGAGATCCATTCGCCTGGGCCTCAGGAAGTGTTGTGATTACAGGCGTGAGCCACCGTGCCCGGCCAAATTTCAGGCCAACACCTGTTGACACACATTACCACACACACACACACACACACACACACACACACACACGGAATCCCTAGCGGAACACCGATGGGCCCACAAAACACGCGGAGGCCGCAGTGGCTAACGATGTTAGCAAATTCCGCTCACGGTATCTGGCATACAGCCCTGAGGGTACACTGTCCACCTTTGCGGAAGGACCAGTATTCACCGCTCCCCTCATCTCCACGCAGATTCTTCCCCACACGCCTCCCCTTTCTTTGGGCCGCTGATGCCTCTTGGACCTCTGAGGTGACTGCCCCGCCCGCAGCTTCTTTCCTTCCAGGAGCTTCTCCAAAGTGGCTCAGTGGTAAGCCCCAGGTCCAGCAAGCGCGATGCAACCTAATGGCTCTTTGGGTTCGCAGGGATCTTCATAGGGAATAGATGAAAGTAACAGGTACCAATATCAAAACCACAGTGACTCAACAGAAACCATCTGTGCTTTCCCCAGTTGCTAAGCGGTTTTTTGAGTCCAACACACTCTTGCACTGGCCGGGAATTGAACCCGGGTCTCCCGCGTGGGAGGCGAGAATTCTACCACTGAACCACCAGTGCCTCTCTTCAGCTGTTAACTGGAGGATAAATGAAAAGAGTATCCACAAAGACTTAGCAACTGTTCCAAGCGGCATTTTCTAGAGTCGACTAAAAGCTAACAAAGACATCCAAACCAAATGTTTTTGTAGGAAACTTTTACTAGACAAAGTTATAAATATCAAAGTAGTTCATCTGTCACATCAAACTCTTCACTCTGAACAAGGTCTTTCTACCTGCATTACAAACCCCTACAATCAAACATCAGAAATTCATTCATATTTCTTTCTTCTCATCCTAAATCTTCAATTGTCAACCTCAAACTGCTGCCTTACAGGTTCTGAGAAGGTAACTTAACTGGTAGTTTAGGGAAGTAAAGTTCAAATCCAGGGAGGAAATAAGAAGCAGAAGCAGAATTAGAAGAAAGACGAAATAAAAGGACAGAATCAAGGTAGAGATAATGAAGAAACAAAGCTTGGTCCACTGAGTTAGTCTTTTGTCGCTGGATTTTTTGGCAACAGAGTAATGATCAGTCTCATCATCATTATAATACTATTATTTGTCTACTTGAAGATATATAAAGCATTTGAAGGCAAAGTGATATAAAAAGATTAATAATGCTTGCAGTCAATGTTTCATTGTTTGGGAGAATCCAATTTCCTAAGTCAGTATGCTTTGATGTATTAGCTGTGTAAGGAGTAGACTAGTTTAAGGAAATATTGACGGTACAAATATTAACATATTAGTCTTTTGAGGAAGTTCAAATAGTAGACAGATTTCTTTCCTCAATTTTCCCTGGAGACATTAAACTGAAGAGAAAAATCCAGAGTTTTCCCCACATGTTGGGTCTGGGAGTCATTATGACTTTTTCAAAGACAGGAGCTGTGACATAGAATGATCCTTCTTCTCTAGCTGAGAAGCCAAGGTAGGTCCAGGCTGAGTCATAAACTTGAGCCCAACAAGGAAATCACCCTTCGCATTGACCTTGCCGAGCTTTGGCTGTTCTCTGTTCTTTGCCCAACACCCAAGACACACACCAGCTCTGGCCAACAAACCTTAACATATTATCTGTATCAACCAGAGCTACATTTATTCCCAAATCTCCTTCTAAAATACAAACCTGTACTTTCTACTCTCAACTTCTACATTTACAAAGGCCTCATATGCATCTCAGAGTCACAGATGGTAAAACTCAACACACCAGTCAGTTCTCTGTCAAAAAACTGACAAAAAACTGGACTCCCGATCAGGCACACTGGCTCATGCCTGTAATACTAGCACTTTGGGAGGTCAAGGCGGATGGATCACGAAGTCAGGAGATTGAGACCATCATGACTAACACGGTGAAACCTCATCTCTACTAAAACTACAACAACAACAAAAAATTAGCTGAGCGTGGTGGCACCCGCCTGTAGTCCCAGCTATTCAGGAGGCTGAGGCAGGAGAATCGCTTGAACCCAGGAGGTGGAGGTTGCAGTGAGCTGAGATCACACCATTGCACTCCAGCCTGGGCAAAGGAGCAAGACTCCATCTCAAAATAAACAAACAGACAAAAACAAACAACAAAAAAACCTGGACTCTCTACAGCCAGTGGAGTATGCACCATTCACTTGCCACACTGTATGCTGAGTGACCCTTCCACACCTTCAATCTGCACATAACTTCAGCCTGAAACCACGTAATGTCCCTTTATTTCTTCAGTACAATGATTAATACCTTATTATCTGTACCCTGCTTCCCTCTGTGCTCATCATTCTGATAGCTCTTGCCAATACTCAAATCCAGGAGCAGCAAACCACTTGACATGTCACAAACTTTTCACAGGTTCACGCCAGTGGATTCCCCAGTGAACCAGCTCTCTTAACTCAGGCTTCCATAACAAAATACCACAGACTGGATTGCTTAAACACGAGGAATTTCTTTCTCATAGTTTGAGAGGCTGAGAAGTCCGAGACCAAACTGCCAGCCGATTCAGTTCCCCGGTGAGGGCTCTCTCCCTGACTTGCAGACTGCTACCTTCTCCTTCTGTCCTCACGTGGTGGAGCGAGACAGAGAGAGAGCACTTTGGTCGTTCATCTATTTCTTAGAATGACACTGATCTCATCATGGAGATCCCATGGTCATGACCTCATCTAAACCTGATTACCTCCCAAAGGCCCTACCTCCAAAATACCTTCACATTGGGGGTTAAGGCTTCAATATATAATTTGAAGGGGACACAAACATCCATTCCATTACACTCGCACCTGCCTTTGCAATCCAGCCTCTGGGCCAGGCTTAGCAGTGGAGAGCC